TGGGGCCCAGGCCGGAGCAGGAGGCGCGCGCCGCGCCCGCGGAACCAGGTGGAGCTTCTTCCCCTCCTCCCCTAGGGGTCCGGAGCGAGGCCGAGCGAGCCCCGGCCGGGCCTGGTTAGGGGTGGAGAGTCCCTGACCCTACTCGAGCGGGTGTGGAGAGTTCGCGTGGGGTTGGAACCCGGGCTGTGCCCAAGTGCAGCATGTGTTTCTGAATTTTGAGAATTTTGAACTTCGGAACGAAGTACGAGCAAGTTGGATTTGGAGAGGCAGTGAGGGGATCTCGTGCCTTACCGAAGTCAGAAGTTTGGAGGAAACAATTCTTAAATAAGTTAGGTGCAGGTTGGAATTGGGGTGTGGAGGGCGACGGGCCCCGGAGGATCCTAGAAGTGCTTGGGTTTCTTACCGAAGTCAGAAGTTTGGAGGAAACAATTCTTAAATAAGTTAGGGGCAGGTTGGAATTGGGGTGTGGAGGGCGACGGGCCCCGGAGGATCCTAGAAGTGCTTGGGTTTTGTTGGGTGAAGACCTTGGGGTCGTATTGCTTGGAGAGATGTCGCTCCTGGGCCTGAATGGATCAGTGAGGGGCGGGGAGTCAGGTTGAATTTGAGGATGTGGAGGGAGCTTTTCAGACTTGAGAGCATAGTGGGTTCGGAGAATGAGCTCACGTGTGCGGTTCTTTTCATAAAATCTTGAAAAATGCATGCTTAGCATAGAGCTTGTTAAATAGTGAGGAAGCAATAAATGACAGCTATTTGTATTTATAACTAATAAGTACAATAATACTAATAATAACTAATAGTAAGCTCCGGTAGTGCCCTACAAAAAAGCTGGGTGGGTTTAAAAGTTTTGGAAACGAAAATTGGTTGGCGGAGGCTGCTTCTATCTCCTTGGCAGTGTAGATTTGCTACTATCACCTTCGCAATTAAAAGTTTGTTGCAGGGCTCTTGCCTTGAACTTCTTTGCGTTTCTTACGACCAGCAACCTGCCACTCCTTGGTGCTTTGAGATAGAAAGCGCCCTGTTTAAAACACAAAACAAGACTGTGTTACAACTTAACTTGGGACTCTTTTGGGGACACACCCAGTCAACATAATCTCTACAGCTCTGTTTGATAAAAAATGCTTACTTAGGAAGAGATTTTCATGGAACATAAATCAGGAAAGGCCAGCCATTTGCACTTTTTTTGTTGGGAATTCTACCATGTGTTATTTTCAGTAGCGAAAGGGAGGCATTGCTTGTATATGCAAGTGCAGTGTCTAGAAACTACAGGTTCCAGAATGCAGTTTGTTTTGATTGAAGCAGTTGGAGACACTTGCCACTGTGCTAGGATACCATGCTTTTATTTCTGGGTTTGAGGGGACCTACATCTTGCTTTCTATGTTCTTGTTACTCCTATTAAGCTTTACAATGTCTCTATGAGATAGGTACTTCTGTTTCCATTTTATAGATGAAACTGAGGCCCAGAGAGTTTAAGTAACTTGTCTAAGGATGAAAACCCAATTACATCTGACTCCCTCCCAGATCAGGAATGAAGACCTCCCTAGATGTCATCTAATTTGTAGATGCCATGTAATGATCTCATATGCTATTTAATTTGCTTCAGATTCTTAAGATTATGGTCAAAGTACAAGAATGTTTCTCTGGTCTCTCTACTACTACTATTGATTACATGATCAAATAGGATAGAAGTTTTTGTTTTGATTTCCTAAGCTTGGAGGCTGAAATTTGAACCCTGAGAAGGGAGTATGGCTTGATGATTTGTACAAACTTTTTTCCTTTGAAGAAATTTTTGCCATAAAGCGTATCAGTGATTAAGGAAAAGTTGTCTAAAATTAGATTCCAAATTAGGATCTATCAAGTCACTTAGTATCCACAAGTTACTTTATACATTTATTGGAGGATCATAATGAAAAATATTTCTCCTAAATGTTCTCATTGTTGGATTGTTAAAGGTATACAATTACATGTTTATTCAGCCAAAAAACTATAGAAGAATAGAAAAATATTGCCAAACATGCTTGGGAATTATCTTTTATCTTCAGTGGGTTGTCTGAACCTCTTGAAATTATATATAATATTTTTTAATTTAAAACTTTAATAGGCAGTGCATTCACATGATTCAAATGAAAATGTAAGAAAGTATACAGTGAAAATGTCCCTTCCTACCCCTTATTTCCCACTCCCAGGAAAGATCTTGTTTTTCTTCCACAGTTTATGCATCTACATGAAAACTCAAGTATACTTATTTTATTTTTTGCCTTTATGTACAAAAGGTTGTATATTACACACACTGTTCTGTAACTTGCTTTTTTCATTTAATAATACATGATAGAAATCTTTCCATATCAGTACATAGAAAATTTCTTTATTCCTTTTATAGATGTTTGGAATTTAATTGAACGGCTATAACAATTTATTTAACCATCTGTTGGTGGTTATTCAGGTTGCTTTGTATCTTTTATTATTAAAAATAATTGTTTCTAAAATCGTTATGTAAGTGTTTATGTGCATTTGTATGGAGAGGTCACCTGTAGCTTTCTCAAGATTCTCAGAGTTGTCTCTCATTCAGAGAAGAGAGGTACCAATTAAAAGTGAGTTAGCACTGGTTGAGCATCCCTAATCCTAAAGTCTGAGATGCTCCAAAATCCGAAACTTTTTGATTGTTGACATGACACCACAAGTGAAAAATTCTACACCTGACCTCACGTGACAGATCATGTGTTTCATGCACAAAATTATTAAAAATATTATATAAAATTACCTTCAGACTATGTGGACAAGGTGTATATGAAACATAAATGAATTTTGTGTTTAGATTTGGGTCCCATCCCCAAGGTAGTTCATTATGTATATGCAAACATTCCAAAATCCAAAAAAATCTACATTTTGGATAAGGGATACACAACCTATAGGAGATAAGGGCTGAAAGGGTAATCCATAAATAAGGGCTAAAACACAGACTAATACACACTGAAATGCTAATGGTAGCTTTTAATAGAGAATACAAAAATACCAATTTCGTAAATATTTATATTGTGCTTTTATGAATGGGAGATGACAGAATTAGCAATTTTAGGAATATTCAGAACTATATCGCTTAGTGGTGTTCCTTTGGCATAGATCAGTTGATGGAGGAAAAGTCAGGCCTGCTTTATAATACTAGAAGTGAAATTTTGTAGTAAATGCAGTAGTGTTTAAATGAAATTCTTAAAATATATACATCTTTTATTCTATTGAAACCCTGTATCTCGTTTGGAATTGGATTGTCTATGCAAAAAGTGCAAAAGTTTGTGCTTGTTAAAAGTTTTGCTTGTGCTGGTGACATTTTTGTTTTCTGACAGCTTCTTGGCAAGTTTTAAGGTTCAGAAGCTTAATGATCCCTGTGTAAATGTTTTATTTAATTCTTATATGCGTTGCCTATTTGCTTTTGGATATAGTATCAGTTTTTCTTGTGGATTCGTAAAACCCTTTGTGTGAAGATTTCAACTCAGATTTCAACTTCATGTTCTTTGAGGATCTGCAGCTCATTGTGTATATTGACATATTAAGTATTTGGACCATCTTGAGCAATATTCAGGGATTATGTGATGAGTGTCTGCTCTGTGCCAGGCACTGTTCTAGGTCCTTGGGAGACATCAGTGAATGAAATATTAAAGATCCCTCTTTTATGGAACTTACATTCTAAACTTAGAGACAGTCCTGGTCTATTGATTTAAAAAACATTTACACACAGGTGTGCGTAGGTGGATTTAGAACTATACATAACAGCTACACTTAAGCCTCATTGAAAATTATTAATGAATTTAAGAATTCATTTAGTCTTTTCCATTTGAAATCAAGGATGATTATTCTAAATTATACTGCCTTTTTACTTTTTAGGACAGTTCTTTTTCTTCTACCATGGGTAATGTATAACAGCTACACTTAAGCCTCATTGAAAATTATTAATGAATTTAAGAATTCATTTAGTCTTTTCCATTTGAAATCAAGGATGATCATTCTAAATTATACTGCCTTTTTACTTTTTAGGACAGTTCTTTTTCTTCTACCATGGGTAATGATTGAAGAGAAAAGCTAGACAAAGGCTGATGAATCTTTTAAACTGGCAGTTTAAATTTTTTTCTATTTGTGGTGTTAAAAGTACATTTCAGAAATTGAATCAAATGGCCTGGCCGGTTAGCTGAGTTGTTTAGAATGCCACCTTGTAACACCAAGGGCAAGGGTTTGGATCCCTGTACCGGCCAGTTGCCAAAAAAAAAAAGAAATTTAAGAGATCAAAAAAATTGAATGCCTCATTTATCCTTTTCCTTTATACCACCCCAACCTCCCTGTTCATTTAGGGTTAACATTTATACATTTAAAAAAGTTCCCCTTTCTATGGAGAGCAAGTAATTCTGGTTTATTACTCAGTTGGCAGGTAGTGTTTGCTATATGTGGAGCCTAAATTGCATTTAGGCCTAATGCATAATGAAACCATGTGATTATAGTGTAAAAGGATAGGAATTTCCCTGGTCTGTAAGGGATTGTTTTAAAATGTATAAAACGACTCATCCCTTTATCCTTAATGACACATATTCCAAAATTTGAGAGTGTCATTATGTGTTATACTAATGCAAGAAACATTTGCCTTGTGCTTATGTGTTTTTTAAAACTCATGGTTAGATTACCTCATGTATTTTACCAACTAAGCATTAATTACCATTGAAGGAATAGCTCCAGTCTGTAGAACTTAGAATTGAGCAGCAGGAATTTTTTTTTTGTTAAGAAGATGACCGGTAAGGGGATCTTAACCCTTGATGTGGTGTTGTCAGCACCATGCTCTCCAAAGTGAGCCAACCGACCATCCCTATATGGGATCCAAACACGCAGCCTTGGTGTTACCAACACCAAACTCTCCCAAGTGAGCCACGGGCCGGGCCCCAAGCAGCAGGAATTTAAGAGGTATTTTTGTTTATTCATATTCCTCTCATGGTCTTAACTTCCAGTTAGTCTTGGAAGAGTTGCCCACCTTGAATCCATTTATATCTGAGTTTGCCTAAATATATGATGTAGGACATGTTTGTAAAATTTCATTCCACTAATTCAGTGAGCATTTTTTTTGGCACACACTGTGCAAG